GTGGGTCGGGGGGTCATTAATAACTAATTAGAGGCTCAGAGCCACTCAGGCTCCTATAAGTGGAGCTGATCCGCAGGGAGCGCATCAGTCGCACTCAGACCCTGCGCCGCAGCACTCATGGGTTCGGTTCTGGCGCTGAAGTCCAGGTTCAGGTCTCAGCTGTGTGAGATCATCACCTCTGATATCCTGCACAGTTTTCTGTACGGTCGATGGAGGAACGTGCTGGGAGAGAATCCGTGCGAGGAGCCGCAGAGGACCGCCTTCACCGCCGAGGCTCTGGCGCAGTCCTTCCCCGGAGGTAAAACTTTTACTGTTAGACGACAATTAACCATGGCTTTACTACTAATAAAACCAGAAAACCTATGCTTAAACTATGGCAACCACATGGTTTTGCTGCACTAACCATAGTTTAGCCATGCATTTGTGGTAAAACTGTGGTTATAAAAATGGTAATCAACACACCAAAAAAAAAAAAATTATATATATATATATAGGCTATATATAAATAATAAAACCATGGTTAATTTTCGTAAGGTCTGAACTGGCTGAAGAAGAGTATAAATTCAGGATAACTGGGACATTTGTTTATCCAAGTCATCTTAATGGCAAAAAGTGTCCCAATTTACCTGAATTTGTGAAATTCGCGAAGCGCTCGATTATACGAAATCAACTTATTCAAAAACACCCTATCTGTTTATGTTTTTTAAAGTTTCAACATGTTATATTTATCAATGATAGGCTATATCGATACATTTAAAGCGAAGTGTTGATCTGCACATTAGTTTTGGATCGTGTGTGGCTAAAATCGCAAACAAAAATGATTTGTTAAGTGTTTTAAATATGTTTTCATGATAGTAGAATTATATTCTTGTTGAGTTTCAAATGCAGAGAAGGAAATTGCATTTGTATGCAGTTAGATGATTTGTTTTATTGTTGTAAAATGTGAGATAATTAAATGCGTTGAAAAAACCGGCAAAATTTAAACCCGTTCGCGAGAAAACCGTTTTGTGCTAAATTCGCGCGAAAAAGAAAAACGATTGACTGGTGTTGTCTTGGTGTCGTGTGTTTTGTTTCGTTTTGGGAGAAATGTTTGTGGTTTGTTGTTGGATTACGTCAAATAATAATAAATGTCAATTGTAGGCTATTCCGCACTTTTCGATCGCACTTTTGTTTTGTCGGAAAAAGCCCGAACTTCGTTTTACGAACGATCCGCGCGATCCGTCAGTGGGAACAAACTCTCTCTGGTCTGCTGGGAATCTCTTCCCAAGCTCCTTGAAGGATGCCGTTCTCCAGCATTTAGTCTCTTTTCTTTCGCTCCATTGAAGCCGTTTAACGCGGTGAAAGGTGCGCGTTGGGTGTGTAAACGCCGAGGACTGAATGAAGCGGCTTTAAATTCATTTGGTTAACTTTGGGGATCTTTTCTTTGGCTTTCTCAGGTCAAGCACATTCTCGGAGCTTTATCCCGCATTCACGGATCTCTTCTCCTGCGCTGGCATCTCCGCTTCTCTTTATTAACGCACCGTGAACGGCTCTTTCTGTCCTCATTCACGGCATGTCAAGCAGCTAATCGCCTTTCCATCTTTTTGTTTGCGAAATTCCTGCGTGTTTTTAAACAAGCCATCGCTTCATTCACTCGCATTTATTGCTACAAACGTGCTGAAAGGATAATGAATGTGGAATGAGTCCGTGGAGAATAACGAGTGTCAGTGAAAGCGGAACGAATGCGGTTCTTCACCTCTTCTCAGCCGCTTCTGTTCGCGTTTTGTACGCAACAAATGCGCGATTCTTTGATTTTGACGTTAAATGCGAGCGTCTTTCTTTGGCGCTTTTGAGGCGGTTTTCAATGCGCTTTTACAGTTTCCCTCCCCAACATTTAACGCACTTAATCCGGTTAAATAGAGGTCATATTTCGTGACCAAAATAATAATAAAGGGCATTAATTTCATTCATTCGTTTCGATGCGTCTGCCAAAGTCTCATTACAAAGATGAGCCACTTTTTTTTGCCGCTAGAAACGATAAAACCGCGTTTGTTTGACGGCTAAGCGAATTAAATAATCAAAACTGTTTTATGAAGGCTATTTTATTCTTTGAAATGATTTGAAAAGTGCATATTAAATGTTAAGTTAACACCAGCATAACAAGCGATATTAATAGATATCACAGAAGACCAGAATGTTTTAATTAAAACAAGCAAAACTATTTACATTCGTGAGCGTTTTAATATTAATTCGTTTAAACACGATTAAAGTAAAAGTGTCATTTATGTTTTTGCAAGTCTATAAAAACAAGATCGTTTAATATGTTAATATTGCTTGTTGTCTATATTTAATATAGCAGCCTATTTAACAATCACCATCTTATATCGTATTTTAATGCTGATCAAAAGCAATAAAGTAAGATATAACCTGGTTATTGTTATATAGGCCTACAGATTATATTATATATTTGATCATTAATTTGATATATTATTAACATGTTACACACTTAAAAAGTAAGGGTTACACTTTATTTTAAGGTGTTCTTGTTACAGTGTAATTATATACATTTAAGTACTGAGTATTATTAATTAACCACATGCATTAACTATATAGTTAGGATTACTTGCATGTAAATATGCATAATTTATTGTTATTATAATAGTAAGTACATGTAACATGTGTAACAAGGACACCTTAAAATAAAGTGTTACCAACCATTTTTTCTTAGTGTGAAGAACATCTGAATAATCTGAAGAACCTTTTGTGCAATGGAAAGATTGATGGATGTTAAAAGTTCTGCCAGTAAAGAAGCTGAATATCTCAGATGATGCTTATTGATATTCATGGTGCCGGTCTCCTGCAGAGGTGCAGAAGCTGTCGAGTCTGGTTCTGCCCAGCGAGGTCATCATCGCTCAGAGTTCAGTCCCTGGAGAAGGTCTGGGGATTTTCTCCAAGACCTGGATCAAAGTTGGGACCGAGATGGGCCCGTTCTCCGGGAGCCTCGTGTCCCCTGAGCACGTGGACCTGCGGAAGAACAATAACCTCATGTGGGAGTCAAGAAAAAAAATGGAGGTTTTGAATGTTTGGAGAACATTCAGAAATAATAACAATGTGAATGCTAACAAAACGTTCTCAGAACATATTTTTGTCAAAATGTATATATTATATTCAAAAGACAGTAAATGTCCGTGTTTACTTAAAAATGACATCTGAGTGTTTGTATTTCCAGACTATTCCTCCGGATCAGGAGCTGCTGGTTTGGTACGGGAGTTCCCACAACACTTTCCTGGGAATTCCTGGCGTTCCGGGGACAGAGGACGAGCAGCAGAAGAAGAGGAGCGGTACGTGTTCACCTGCAGCTTAACCTCAGAACAATCAAACTCATTATGCCCTCTTAAGCTTAATTAGTCTGAGTTTAAGAGCTTGAGGAAGGAATGTGGAGCAGATGCTTATCTGTGAGAGACACGAACACGTGTGCCCTCTAGTGGTGCATGATGGGATTGCTCTCCAGTGTTTTAACAACAATATCTGTTCAGATGTTATTTTCTGATCTGATCTGATCTGAAGTGAAATGTGGCCAAGTATGGTGACCCATACTTGGAATTAGTGCTCTGCATTTAACCCATCCTAAGTGCACACACACAGC